AATAGTTCTACTTACCTTTTTAAAGTTCCTATTAATCCAATCCTTTGAAGATTTTATAGAACACTATTAGTATAAGATGCTTCCTCTTGAATCTGAATTCCATTTAATATTTCTTAGTTTCACATAATCTCTTTTTTTCTTTTACATTTCAATTTTTTGGCCACACATTTATCTTAAGTTATCTTAACTAAAAAATTGGTTCTTCCCAATATAATAGTTAAATTTTGCTGTTCTAGTCATCATCATATCCAAAATACTTTATGATATAGCAAAGATTTTATTCTCTATATGAATTCTTGTTAAAATCTCTCTGATCTTTGATATTTAAAATTATTGTTAAGTAAAGATCTGAAAAATAAAGTTATATTTAGATATTAGAATTTTATTTAGAGTAAATTTCAAGAATTAGCAGTTAAAAAATTATTTATAATATGATTTTAAGATTAATATAAATGAAAATAAAAGGTTTAATATATAATAAAATTAACAATAATAATAGTTGATAATGTAAATTATTTTTGGGTTGATTTTTTTCAATTAAAAAATAATTACACAATCTAATCATTTTATTGTTCTTTAAAACATAAAATTGGGAACCAACAATTAATCTTAGAAGAATCATTTCAAATTTAAATCCAATAGATTGTTTTTTATAAATAAAATTAAGTCTGAAATTACTACAATTTGGTTATTTTGGATAGTTTAAATTTAGTTAAATTATGACGAAAAATAATTATCTATCATCTAAAATGAAATTAGATGTTAAGAGTATGAGACTTATCTACTTCATTAAAACTATCAAATTAATGAAATAGCAATAGAGTTTTAAAGCACTTAGTGAACAGACTGATAGGCTCACATAATTGATCTCATATTAAAAATGATTCAAATTTTACATTTATTTAGTGCCATTCAATTGTTTACTTTCCTTTAACTCTTGATTTATATATTGGTCATCGTTCTTTAAGGTTTCTGATTTTAAATTGATTATTTTATTTATAAACCGAAATAATCATGATATTAAACAAATCTTTGGTACTCTTTACATCTTGGAAATATTTGGTAATAAAAAAATTGTATGATATTCTCTTATATAAACTTTGGCTGAAAAAGATTACAAAAATTATCCTTAAGATAATAATAGGTTTCTGGGATTATTTTCGAACTGGAAAAATAAAAAACATCACATATTCTGATTTTAATATAATTAGAAAAATATATTTCTTAATTGGAATGAAGATATTTTTTATTTTGGTATATAAAATATTTAAAGTTTTCAATATGAATTATAAAACTAGTATTCAAATATTTTAGTGAGTAATTCTAGAGCAAATTGATCTTTAAACTTTATCAAATTAAATAATTTCATTTTTTAACAATGCTCGAGCAATCACAATAATTTTGTAAATTATAATACTTTATTTAAAATGTAAGGGCTTGTCAATTTCGAATATATGAATGCTAAAAGTTTTAATCAAATCTTCATTTCAGTTTGTTTATTAGATTTATCATACACATAAAAGAAAAGGTGTTTTACCATTTATTTTGTAAGAAGGTTGAAATCCAAATATCTTTTTGAGTTATTTATAAACCACTTAGCCAAAGTTTAATAAATTTTTAGATTGAACTAATTTCAATAATTATTTAAAATTAGATAATTGTTATCTATTTTTAATTCTCCAAAAAACTTGATTAATTAAAATTAGTATAATCAACTTTTTTATATTTAATAAATATATATATTAGAAAATACTCACTTTATAATTTAATAAATTCATATCTTATTTTATTAATTATTAAAACAAAAATTAAACATGAACACCGAAGCAGAAAAAATTAATGAAAAATATCTAAAAAAAGTGAATGAATGCATAGAAAATGCTTAATAAGCAATAGTGGTATATATATTATTTTATAAATGTAAATAGAACTCATTTAAGAATATTGATGCCAAACTTGATGAACTTCTTAATAAGGAGTGTAATTGGATTAATGTAATAACATCTTAAAAATAATAATAATAAGAATTACCAAATGTCAATTCAAATATTTTACATAAATTTTAAGATGACAATTTCCAAAAATAAATCTGTGAAGAAGTGACATCTTTAATCAAAATTAATATTCAACATCAAGTTTAAAAGAAAGAACAATAATATCAAGAATTAATTAAACAAAATTAAACATAATTGGAACATTAAATCAAATAAAATGATTCTTAGATTAATTCATAAACTATTGAATAATCATCCTCACTTGTAGCTACTCAATCAAATCTCAAACCCTTTACTTATGAATTAATTAAACAAAATTCAATTAAATAAGATCAATGGTGTTATGCAATTGCTGTTAATAAAGATTGTTCAATATTAATTGCTGGATGTAATAGTTAAATTAAAGTATTTGAATTTATATAAGGAATCTTAAAATAAGTTTAAATATTAAGTGAACATGGGCATTATGTATATACTTTAACTTTCATGAAGAGATCAGATCATTTTATATCTGGTAGTGCTGATAGTTCAATCATAATATGGGCAAGAAATCAAAATAATTCATGGATTTGCCAATAGAAATTGAATGGACATGCAAATAGTATCACATGTTTGTTATTAAATAATAATGAAGATTATATTGTATCTGGTAGTTGTGATTTTAAGATTAAATTCTGGTAGAAGTAAAATGGATGGTTGTGTTCTTAGACAATTACAGATCATACAAATCCTGTATATGGATTAAGTTTCAATGAATAATAGAATAGATTGATATCTTGTGGAGCAGATAAATGTATATTAATAATTGAACAACAAGAATTGAATAAATAATGGATTGTAATATAAAAGATTACAGTAGAACAATATGGATATAGATTATGCTTTATTGATAATAATATATTCACATTCTATCCTTATGAAAAATAGTACATAAATGTTTTTGAGATGAATAATAGTAATAAATAGCATACTAAGATAAAGGATATTCCTGTAAAAGGTGGTACTGATAATTGTTTCTTTGCTTCATAATATATAAAATCAAAATGTATGCTTGTAAATAAGAATGGTTCAAATGTAAGTTTAATAAGGAAGAAACAAAATGGAGAGTTTATGACTGAGGAATCTATTGAGTTTGGAACATAATCTATTTATGGATATATGACTGATGATGGACAGTATTTGATTACTTGGGATAATCAATCAAAAGAAATTCAGATCAGAAAATATCAAGAAAAATGAGTTTGAGTTCTTATAAAATTTAAGATTAATTATTTATTTAATATTATTTTATTTATTTTATAATTGGAAACTTTAATGTTTATATTTTAGAAAAATCTTTTCTATTGAGAATTAATTTTGCAAAGCGAAAAATGAATTCTATGAATGTTTTATATCCTTCAACATTTTTATTTTTTAATTATTTATGAAATTTTCAATGGTTTAACTGAAGAGAAAACCGCAGATAAGGCAAATTATTATATAATCAACTCGATTATTTATATCAATATAATTGGAATTGATAAATTAGTAAAAGATTAAGCTAAACCAAAATTAAGGAATAATAGGAAATTACTT